TTTTAATTAAACTTTCTTCTTTAGAAAACTTCCCGGTTTCCGCAGGGGAAATCTTTCCGCTGCGATTAGGTCACTTGAGGGCCTCTTTAGTTACAGAATCCTCTCCTTTAAAAAAAAAGAGAGAGAAAGCTGCTTCTGTGGACTACGATTCCCAGTATCCCCAAGCAGGCTTGGGCGTGGTGGATTCTGGACTTTGTATTTCAGAGCGCTTTCCATGTTCTGCAGAAGAGGTTAGACCAGGGTGATGCCCGGCCGACGGGTAGAGTGCTTAGGTAGTTTTAATTTCTAAGGGTCCCTAAGGCCGTTTCATGTTGGTTTATCAATTTTAGTGGTTATTTCAGGCATTTTCTCAACTGCAGGAGGGCTTCTGTTCGGGCTGAGAAGCAACCCTGAAATTACATCTCGAAGAACCCTCTCGCCTACACAATGCAACATTCTTAGGACATCCATCTGCAAATTAAAGCCCATTTTGTTAAAAGCATATATATTTTTTATTAGAGGCTGTACCAGTCAAGAATTAACCCCTTAGTGTGTTTCTGGAGTTTGTAAAGAAGGCATTCTCAACGTCTGATCATTTTCTTCCATTTCCCCGCCTGCGTTAGAGGTGTGCTTTCAATATGATGGCCGTCCTACGAACGGGTGAGTCCGGGGACCTGTCGTTCCCATGGTGTTGCCAGCCCAGGGCTGTGTGGCTTCCTTCATCATCCGGTCCGTCCCTCTTCCCGGTGGTCTTCCTCTTTCCCCACTGCCTCCAGCTTCTCCTCCCATCCATGATTCCCAGCAAATGTCACGAATTGGTGGGTCACGGCACCATCAGACCCCGACCGATGGTGAATTTAAGCCATTTTAATTTATAAAAATCACACAGCACCTCGGCACGACACGGCAAGGTTTTGGAACCGGCTGTGACAGCCGGAGTCTCGTAGACGAGGGAATTAAGCTAAAAAAAATGCAGAGACGGCATATCAGGATTTATTGGGAGGAGGTCTTTGGGCAGCCGGTGGGTAACAGCTTCTGAAGCCGAAGGCCAGTCCCGGTGCCAAGCGGGCACAAACGGGCGCATGGATCACACAGACCGGCCTCCGACCACCCCGGTGTCATGAATCCTGCCCTCTTGTCCACTCTGTGCGATTCTCCCTTCTCACAGCAACTGTCGGCAATGGTGACGGATCAAACCATCTATTCCAATGCACTGCCTTCCGGGACAGGTTTCATTTATTGGCGGGGAAATTATAGGTAGCACGATCGGTTCAGAGAGCCTTTCCCAGCCCTCTCTTTTTCTCCCGGGCTATTCCCAGGGGTTCAAACCAAGGAAGCATTTCCGAGGCCCCGACAGCAGCTGCGTGCCTTTTTTCTCCTAGAATAGAGGAAAGCTTCGCAATACGGGATGAGACAGAGGTTCATTCAAATGGGGGGGGGGCGTTATAGCCCATCTGTCCTCAAAGCTGCTCAAAGGGTTGTGGCTTCCACACTTCAACCCTCCAGTCCAGCATGACGATCCAAGTTTAACCTGGACATCCCAGTCCAACACTACACTCTTAAACATTACCCATTATCCCCCGGAAAACAAACCGGACGGCGCGGAATGCAATCTGAAGCCAGCTGCTCCGGCATTTAAACCGACTGACAGATTTACCAGTGAACCCACTACTGAATTCCCATTTAAAAATACTTCCCCCCCCCATCTGCCTCCAGTTGGTGGGTCTTTGGTGCTGAATTCCAGCACGGAGCAAATTGCCAGCTGCTAAGTAGAACTTCCAGGCTCAGAGGAAGTATATCTGAAAGTGGGATTTCGACAGGCATATGGCTGGCAACCAGGGAGGTATGGTCCATGAAGCCCGTTCATAAGCCCGTTTTATTTGTGAGTGTGTGTGCGTGTGAAGCATCCATGCTTTTTCCGGTCCTCCACTTCCCAAAAACCTGCATTGGTGTGCTTGATTCCTTCTAGGCAACCAGATTTTTATTTGTGTGCCTTGTAAATTATGTAATCTTCTGCTCACATTAAAAAAAAGATTTAAGAGATTAAAATAGGATCCAGAAAGTGCTTTTTCTTTCCCCCGGTCAGGGCTGCATTCCAGTTCCTCTTTGGGTTTGAGAGTCTTGGAGAAGTCCAAAATAATAATAAATCTTAGAACTGCAGAGCTAGAAGGGACCCCAGGAATAATCCAGTCCAGCCCTCATCAAAGGGGGGGGGATTGAACTCCCGACTAGATGCCTTAACCACCAAGCTATCCAGCAGTTCTATAATCATCACCATCATCTTAGAACTGTAGAACTGGAAGGGGCCCCATGGATCATCAAATCCAACCATCAAGAAAGCACAGTGGGGGAATCAAACCCCCAACCTCCAGTTCCACAGAGTCCTAAACCACTATCCAGCCAGCACTGGGACCAAAGATATCGGGGTAAAGAGTTTTCCAGTCCCGCACAGACATTGTTAAAGAATGGATCTGTATGCAGTAGGACCCCCCATATCCACTGGGGATTGGTTCCAAGCTCCTGGAGATACTGAAAACCGCAGAAAATAGCAAACACTGGATAGATAGGAAAGATAGCATGTTAAAAGGGGGGAAAACATGAAAATTATTTTCACATGCATTACCTGAACTGGCCAGTAGAGCACGCTAGAGGGCATTATGTATTCTTCACTAATGATTATTCATAGCACGGTCTCTGGCTCCCTCTAGCGGCCAGTTCTGGTAATAAATGTGATGATTGTTTTTCTAGATTTTTTCATATTTTAAATGTTTTCAGACCATGGATAAGTGCCACTGTGGAGACTGATCCCACAGAGGCGGGGGGGTTTCCCTACCTTTGTGTACCTTTCCGTTCAAAGGCACACCAATGACAGTTCTGCTTTGAGTCCCTTGGCATTAAGAAGACCCCCTTTGTCAAACCCCAAAGTGGACTTTATATCATTTCTTGCCAATTACGATGGTCTGTCCAGCCTCCCGGGGGGAGTGGGGAGTGTGGAGATCTCGGGATCAGGAGAGTGTTGCAAACCTCCCCCCCCCCCATTTTTCCAGCTATTTTTTTGCTTCCCCCATTTCTGAAGGAAAAATGAGGCTGCCGACTCATGTAAATTACATTTATTGGTGAGACAAGGCAAAGCTGGATTTCCCTCTCCCCTGACACCCCCCACCCACTCCCACCCCACTGAATCAAAAGAGCTCTGAATGACAGAATGACAACCCCAGTGAGCGAAGAAAAGAAAGAAAGAAAGAGAACCCTCCGGCCCGTTTCACAGCATGCAAAGATCACACCACTGGACACGGGAGACATTTCGGAGCGATCCGAGCCCACCCCTGCCGTTTTCACCGACTCCGGCTGCAACTGCTCGGCCAACGTTAGGTGTGACGCGAACGGCCTCTCCTCGATTCTGGAGCCGTCGCAGAGAGCGATGGGGATTGTAGTCTGACATCTGGAAGGCCACACTTTCCCAATTTGTTTCGACGTTCTTAGGTATCGGAACAAAAGTTGGAGGGGGCAGAGCCACCCGCTCCAAGCCGCTTTATCTGCAAAATGTGGATTCCAGGGGGCCGGAAGGAGCCCCCTTCAACCAAGGGAGAGGCGGGGACTCCCTGCTTCTCTCTCCCCCTCACACACACAGACCCCTGAAACGCAGAAAAAGCGAATCACCTGGATCCAAGCGCACAGATCCTGATGCCATAGAGTGACCCGTCCTGAGTGGAAAATGCAAGCGTGCCAACTCTCCTCCTCGCTGGAAAACGCAGCCTTCGGCCACCTCGCAGCTCAGTTTGAAGTTGCGCCACAAGACCTTATTGACTCAGCTGCGTGGGAGCCACCGATTCGTGGCACTCCACAGTGCCGGGCACAGCCCACGGATTTGCGGCGCAAAATTTGGGAGAGGACAAGCCAAGAGCCCTTGGGCAAAAGAGACCTTCTGATCAGGGTGGTCAATCGGAAGAAGGAATCTGGCATCACGGCAGGGACACACACACACACACACCCCGACAGCTTCCGGCACATTAAAAAAATTCAAGGTGCGGACCTGGGAGTTGGAGGGCTAAAAATGCCGGTCTGGCTGGTGGTCTCAGGTGGACAACACTCCCGCGGGGGGGTGGCTGTTCCCATGGGGAGCACCGCCTGATCCGGCTCGTTGCAGAACGCCGAGGTGCTGTATGGTGGGAAGAGGGGGTGGTCTCCGTGTCGGTGGACTACAACCCCCATCAGCTCCTGACAGCAGAGGCGGTGGCGAGGGGTGCTGGGACTTGTAGTCCAACACGTTAGAAGGGCTGCACCTTAACCACCCTTGGGGAAGAAGCAGCAGCCACCTTCCAGAGAGAGAGGGAGAGGGGGGGAAGGAAAGGCCACAAGAAACGCATGTGTGACTTCTGTCACTGCACATCCTCGGAGGGCTGTCGTGAAAACCAGGCGGAATCTTCCTATTTTTAAAGGAAGGAAACCACAGAAGGGCAGAGGAAGGACGCCTCCTGTGAACACGGTTGTCCGGAGTCTCCAGAAAGAGGGGAAAGACGGGAAACCAACCGTCCCCTAACAGAGGGAGGTTTGGACCCATGAGTGGGGAAGACGACACGGGGAACCATCAGCCCACGGGAGTTTCTGGGGGGCTCCCCAAACACATCTTGGGAGCTGCTGGCATAGGCTCAGACCCCTTCCTTCTGCCTCCTCCTCCTCCCACCTTTCCTCTATCTCCCCTCTTCATATCATGGGTTCCCAACTTGGCCAACCATCTCAAACGGGCGCAGTGCCCGCAATTAATCTGTGGTTCATGCAGACATGGGTTGGGCAGGCAAGGCAGGATCGCCAACCTTTTTAGTCCCACCGGCCATCTGGAGGTTGCTTCCATGGAACCCGCAAGACAGGAGACCCCTTTCCCCCAGCTGGCGGGATTTCACGCACGGAAAAGAGCCGGGTTTGCGAGTCAAAAGAAGCGGTGCCAGATGGGGGACGTTTCAAGGACCAAAGCAAGAGACCCAACGCTATTTTTTTCTGTTCAACCTGCCGACTAGATCCGTTCTTGAGCCCCGTCTGCCTTCAAACAGCCGGTTCATGACAAATCAAGAAAAGAAAACCAGAAGTACACCAATACAAAACCAAACAACAACAATAATAATAATAAAGTGCAGCGAGAGAGTGTTTGTGTGTGGACCGGCCGCATCGGTGTGTTTGCCACGGAGGGTGCAGATTGCAAAATATCGACTAGAATCCTACAGTGGTTTTAGAAAACACGAAGCGGTTGGCACAGGAGACGGAGAACGGCCGACGACAGGAGCCAACGGGCGACCTTGCCGCGGGGTGGCGGGACCGCAGGGGTGGGGGATGGGGAAACGGGCGACGCACAGTGGTTACAGACTTCTCACGGATGCTAGACGGATCGGACGAGACATTTCCCCTACTGTCACCAGCACACGGACACGGACTTCCTACCTCGGTTTGGAAACCCCGCGTGGGGCGGGGGGGGCCTTAGACACAATAACAGAGCGGATTTTTCCCCGACTTCCTACCTCGGTTTGGAAACCCCGCGCGGGGCGGGAGGGGGCCTTAGACACAATAACAGAGTGGATTTTTCCCCCCACAGAAAGAAAGAGAAAGAGAGAGAGAGAGAGAGAGAGAGAGAGAGTTTTCTTAGCCTGCACCAAACGAAAGGCGAAGGTGGAGTGTGCAGAGCTGGCCCCGTTCCCTCTGGCCCCTCCGTGCTGAGGTGGCGGGTGGCTCCGGAGGGCTAGTTTTTCAAAATGGCATCGTAAACCTGGTAGACATAGTGGGACACTTCCGGGGCTCGGCATTTGAGAGAAAGCTGTAGGACAGAAAGAGAGGAAGTTACTTTGAGAGGATGGCATGCACCCCTGTGAGGGTATGAGAGGAAACATCCAGGCCTCGCTATTTTGTTTTTATTTGAAGGTTTATAGCCCGCCCTCCGCTGTAGGATCTCAGGTGGGTTGCAAAACTGTGAAAATAATACAGTAGGACCACAGTATCCATGGGGGAATCGGTGGCAATGTTTCTCCTTGGAGAGGCTGAAAAACGCAGAAGAATCAAACGCTATACTTTGCATGCTCTCTGGCTCCCTCTGGTGGCCAATTCTGATAACTACACCATGGAAGCCTATAAATATGTATTGGGGCGTTATTTAGTATTTTTGAGAAGCGGATAAGCAAATCAGCGGATACGGAGCCCACAGATAAGGGGGTCCTACTGTATTAAAACATAAGATATGGAAAATAATTTAAAATGAAAGCAACACAAAATTAAAGCATTGAAAGCTTAGCATCTTCCCCACCAACAAACCCTGAAAGCAATCATCCTTTATTTTATTTTTCCTACAGAGATTCCAAAATAAAATGCAGATCCTTAGTCTTTTCGCTACTGGCCAAACTCAAAAAATACTTTCTTAATTCTACTGGACAAGATTTATCTGCGCTGCCTGCAGGGCGGGGGGGGGGCTTTGCCCCCGTATCAATGAGATCTGGGTGAGAATGGCTGAAGCAGGCACTGTTCTTCCCCTCTTTTGCTTCCCTTTCCTACTTCCCAACATCTAAGTATGATCTAAAGTCTGGCTATTTCTCAAGGCCGAAGGCGCTCAGCCCATAAAGCAGCCCTCTTCCAGAAGCTCCAAGCAACTGGAGCCCAGATAGTCTTTTAAAAGTTGTCCGTCACAATGGCGGATGGGTACAGGGATGAAGATCCATTTATGTACCGTAGGAACACAGTGCCCGCAGGAGATTGGTTCCACACCCTCCCGCCGTTGCTGAAAAATGTGGAAATATCAAACGCTATACTTGGCATGGTCTCTTGCGCCCTCTCATGGCCAGTTTGGGTAATTACATCCTGGAAATAGCTATAAATATGTATTTCTGGGGTTTTTTATTTAGTATTTTCACCAAGTGGATAAGTGAGTCCACGGATATTGAACCCGTGGATAGGGGGGTCCTACTAGATTTAGTAGCAGTGACTTTATAAAATATGTTCTTAGGGTCAGCATGCTTAAAAGGGACCCATGGCCGTTTCATTTATGGGTCGCATTCCCTTTTAGAAACGGCTTTGAACACAAGGGCCGACCAAAATTGGGAAACTGGAGGGCTGAGCCACTTTTAAAGGTTCATGTTTGGGAAAACGACCAAAGCGGCCGAATCCGTTGGGCTCTGATCAAACCCATTTGATCCCAATCAAACCCGAAGACCAGATCCGAACCGGTGTGCGAATTCACGTCGCTTGGCCCTGGAACGAGCCATTCCCATTTTGACGCCTGAATTGACTGCAGGTGGGCGAAGCGGGTTCAGAATATGCGATTCACCCGAATCCGGTTCACAGCCCCAAGGGGAGCAGAGTTTTACACAATTTATGGCCTTTTGAAGAGGATCGGTTTCGGATCGGAACGCAACAGCTGACGCCCCTTCTCATGAGAAAGTCTCCCTCCAGGAATGTGTAGTAAAGGCAGATGTTTCAAGGTACCGTCTTCCTTCTCACCCGCTGCCCTCTCCTCCCCAGGAGACCCATACCGTGTAGTTGGGATTGCCCGGCTGGATGCGCAGTTCGGCCAGAATCCAAATGCCGTTGGTGAGCTTCAGCGACTGGTATAACATGTCCTGGCCTTCCACGTTCCTCTTGGCGATGGTATACACGTTGTTGTTCTGGAGCTTACTGGAAACTGTGTCTTTGAGGAAAGAAAGGAACATTGTGAGATGATATGTTAATGCCAGAACATGCATGGCTCGGGATGGCTGGCCCGGACAGCTTCGGCTGGAGCATATTTAAGCCAGGATTGGGGCAAGCAGGATCAAATAAAATACAGCAGAGCTGCCACATCTGTGGGAAGATTGGCACCAAGCCCCCGCAGATGCCGAAAACAGTGGATAATAGTGAACATTATAAATAACGTGGTCTCTGGTGCCCTCTAGTAGTGTTTCTGGTAATGACATCGTGTAAATATGTATTTCTATAACGAAACTTATACAGTAGCACCGCAGTGAGAGATTAGTTCCAACCTCCCACAGATTAAAAAAAACAACACACAGACATTTTGAACACACAGTACACTGCATGGTCTCTGGCTCCCTCTAGTGGCCAGCCCTGGCAAATACACAGAAATACATATCCCTGGGAGTATTTTTAGTATTATTTAGTATCTAGTATTTTCAGGCAGTGGATAAGCAAATCAGTGGATACTGATTGGCAGATGGGGGTCCTTACTGTACACAGCACAGTCTCTGTCTCCCTCTAGTGTCAAGTTCTAGTAAGACCATTGTAGAAATATGTATTTCTGGGATTTTTCTTTTAAGATTTTTAATATTTTCAGACAGTGGATAACCAATTATTCTGCTGATATGGGAGGGGTCCTACTGTGATAATAGTTTAAAAAGAGATTTAACTTTCGGAACAGTGATTATGTTAGTTCCCTACAAAAACATAACAAAAAAGCAGACTTCCGAGACACCTTTAAAACAGTGATGGCAGAAAATACCGTCGTCCCCCGTTATCATTTTATCCCAGAAGGTGGACTGGGCAAAGCGGGTGGGAAATGAGTCGGAGAGAATCCAGAGAGTGAAAGCCAAAAACAGCTCACAGTAATATTTCACTAAATGGCAAGAGTTTTAGATTAATAGGTTTTATTGGGCCTTTCTCACTTGGCTCGACCATCAATCTCAATTCTCCTTTAAGCAGGACTAATTCTGGGTTCAACCCATCCGCCAGTTTCGAAAGACTCAGAAGACGGCTCCGAGACCTGACAAGCAGACGGGCGCATCCTCCGTGGCTGCGCAAGCCGAGTCCAGTAAGGTCCGGGCGCTCGGCTCGACTCCGAAAGCTTCAAACGGCCACAGCATCCGGAGACGATGTCTCTCTGCCCCATAAGAATCTTTCGTTCCTGAACGCCCGTCCCTCCCTTGGTTTCCCACGGAGCTAACAGACCTCAACATGGGGACTTTTCCTTATTTAAGACTCGGCACAGCCACGATACAGACTGTGGGGGCTATGTGGAGCTGCCCTATCCAAAGGCAGTCTATCTTCAAATCCCCATCGCTTTGGGATGGGTGCTGATTTTGCACCCGGAGGCTCTGGTGGAGCTTGTGCGGGATTTAGGGCACGCTGGCCGACACACCCTTTGGGGATTCGACCCAGAAGCTGGGGGAACTTGGTGTCCCCAGAACCACCCTTCTTGACCGTGGGCTAACTTGGAAAACCCCACTGCCTCCGAGGGAATCCTGCAGGTTCAACCGGGCTGGTTCTGCCAGGTAAACTGCCCACTTAGCCTAGTGTCAATTGTAGGCTCTCCGGGGCAGAGACCTCACCTCCTCCATGCCTCCATTTCCTTCCTCTTTTTTTTTCCCCTGCAATGAAAGGGGTTGCTTTGGGGAGCTGGCACTTCCCCCTCTTTCGTTCGCAGGCAGGGAGGCCAGCCTTTCGCCTCCCCATCATCACCCTTCCCATGCCAAGGCTGATGGCGGCTCCGGCAGGAAGGAGCCAAGTTGCTAAGCAACGTCGCCCAGCCGTGCCTGACACACAAAGAAAAAAAAAGGGAAAAAAAAGGAAAGAAACACCGGTTCTTTGTCGGCTTGTTTCTCTGCTTCCCTCCCCTTGACTCTAAACAGCAATTTTCAGAAATCTGCTGGCTTGTATTTATTGCTTAGGTATGCTTCCTCTCCATTTTTTTCCCTGTTCACAACCACCTTCTGACGTAGCCCGGTGTGGGGCGGACACAGGTCAGTTTTAAGGACTGGGACCCGGATCACCCAAGGCTCTAACCCTTAGACGGCGCTCCCTCTGTAGGGCTCGACTTTTGTCGCCTCGCTGGAACAGGGGCAATCAATCATCGCTCAAACATGGAACAAGGGTAAGGACCAGACGTAGCCGCCAACACCGGAGAAGAATCGGGGCTCAGGCCTGGTGGCATTCATCTACAAGCGCCCACGGGGGCCGAGACAGGACCGCCTAACACCCTCGCGGACCGTCGCCCTCCCGGTGCCCTCACTCTGGACTTTCCGCCCCACTCAGGAAGTGCCACGTGTTAAAAACTGTCTCCCCTCCACTAAGTCGGGTCCGACTCATTCCGTCTTCAGCTCCAGGGACCCTCCTGCATATGAAACAGGGTATGGTGTGGCCAGACCTCAGCGCGGATTCATTCTTCATTTCCAGCCTCCCCTTTTACAGTGGGAAGCTGTTCCAAAGTCTCTGAGTGAACACAACACAACTGCCTCACACCCCCCCCGGGTCCACCGGCCACCCGGTGGGGTTTTTCGAACACAGCCTTGCCCGGACTCCCTCCGGCTAGAGGCTGCTTTTCCGACGCGGAGCAGAGAAACGTCAGCCAGCCACCGGCCACAGAGGGCTATGGGCCCAGTTTGCGGGCAACGTTTCAAAAAACTCTGGCGGTCCTCGGACGGGGGACCCTGTCACGGAGGAAGTGGGTGGCCCCGGGATCCGGGGTGGTGATGGGGAAGGATGAAAGAGCAGGCCACCAGGAAGCACCAAAGGGAAGCAAATGGACATCGGCGGGTACAGATGGCAGCCAGGGTCCGCTCAGGTTGTGTGGCCATCCCATCTCAACCACTGCTGCCCTCGTGTGGGTGTTTGTGTGTGCACAGCGATAAAGGGGGGGGGGAGAGGCAGGGGACTCAAGTCAGAAGACCGACTTAAATTGCATTGACGACTTCTTTTTCAATGACCCAGACTCGATTCCCAGCTTGGAAGCCTCCACCCACAGCTCTCCTCTTTTTCTGGGGAGGAAAAACTTGTTTTTAAGAGGGACTCACATTTGAGGCTTAGGTGGGGGGAGGATGATGGGGGACTGGAACCAATCGACTACAGATATGGGGGCCCTACTGCATCTTAGAAATACAGGGAGCAGGACGGGGACCCACAAGGCAAAACCAAGGCTGTTTGTAGTGGCGATGGAAATGCTCTCTGGAGGTCATACTGGTGTAAACCCTTGAAACACAGTAGATCCATAGGGAGGTGGGGCAGAGAGAGAGAGAGAGAGAGAGAGAGAGAGAGAGGGAGGATCCTGCCAAGAAAGAGCGCTCCCTCTTGGTTCTGCGCGCCTGGAAAGTGGGTCATCTCTGATAAACAAGATCCTGTTTCGTTTTATCGGCTCCCCTGATCTCTGGAGTGGATGCTTCACTCTCCCAGCCGTTATAAAGGCAGCCGGCCCTTCCTCGTGGATCCCCCTGCCCTTGCTTTTCTGCTGGAAATCAGACTTGCCAGGATGATAGTTGCTCCGGTTGAGATCAGGACGTCTCCCCAGGCTGGCAAAAAGAGGCAAACCGGAGTTTGGAGGCGCAGCTTTCTGAACCGGGGAGATCCGAGCGGGACGGAAAAGGAATTCACATGAACAGATCCTTCTTTTAAAATCCCCAGCTTGCGTCCTATGAAGCTGTGAACGCGACCGTCTGCTTGTGTTCCTGTTTGCAGGAGGAAAAACTAGGGACCCGAGCGTCCTTTCCCCTTTTTGATTTACGGCGTAAATAAATGCACGCAACTGGGACCCAGTAAGCTTTGAAAAATTATACAGAAACAACTCCAATCCATTGGAAGGAGGGGGGGAATAGTAAAAAAAAGGTTGCAGGAAGCCTGAAGTTGAAAACACATAATTGGGCAGGGAGGTGATACAGATGGACGAACTCTGTTATGAAAGCCACAGGGCTTTCTTAATAGAAATGGAGGTGTATAGAAATGGAAACATGGGGGAAGAGGTCATATAAGGTATGAAATTTTACAGTCGTGAATTGTTCCGATCAACAGTGGGCTGTAGTGCAAAGCTTCAGCCTTTTGTTTATAGGTCTATGTCTAGGTTTCTTCATTCCAACACTCTAATCACTATACCATACTGCTCTTCCTGCATCATCATCCTTGCTTGGGCTGCTGATCATGGACGGCCCTGTGCACAGGAACCCCGCAGGGATGTTTTAATCCCTGCTCCCTACGGAGTCACACAGGAGCTGGTTTAAAAGAGGTAACCGTGCAGACAGGAAACAGAAAGAAAAGGGGGTTCCACGCAATCCAGACCCCCCCGATGCCTTCATTCAACCTAGGGGAATGGCTCTCTCATGGCTTCAGTGTCCCCCTCGGTCATAGCAAGAGGGAAAAAAGCATGGCTTCATAAAATAGTTAAGACTGACAGGTCACAAGGCAGACAAAATGTGCCAGATAAAATACAGTGGTGGTGAGTTCCACATTTCAAACGGATTCTCCCCCCCCCCCCCCACCCCCGGTTGTCACAGGACGCCTGTTTATCAACACTGGACTGTATGACCAAAGCAGCTTCGCCAGAGATAACTGAACATCCCTCAGAGGCAGTGAAGTGCGTCGTGCTGGTCCTCCCATATGAAGCACCCGGAGCGACAAGGACTCTGTGAAGAGCTTTGGGGCAAAAGAGGGTCAGAGTCCCGCTCCCAAACTCGGAAGGAATAAAGCCACGACCGAGGTGGGGCTTAGGGTCAGGGAGCGGAGACGAACACGAGGGTGTACCAAAACGGCTGGGTCTCGCACGCAGAACCCAACAGCCACCCCTCCAACCGCATCCTACAAGGAAAGCGCCTCAAAAAAAAAGTCTTTGGCACTCACCGGCGTTCAGGTGACACTCTTTGATCTGGAACTGGAGTTCGTTTTCGTTCGGAATGTCCTTCCAGGTCGCGAGAAAGACTTGGCGCTCTGGAAGAGGAAAAAAAGAGGAATGTGAGCTTTCTGGCTTTCTGTTTTTTGCACTGCGGCTTCCAACCTCCCAGACGTCTGCAGAGGGGAGTCCCGGGGGACTCCGAAACCCAGCACTCCAGAGAACCAAGCGGAGGCCACCAAACAGGGAAGCACCATCTTTCTCCGGAAGAGGCGGGCGTGTTTATGACGAAGAACCGTCCCAAGGATCTGGATGAGCTCCTGGAGGGCAACAGATAGTGTGTGTTTGCGTAGTCCCACGCGTGTGCTTCTTGGACACTACGCCGAGACCAGGGGCTGCCCGCTGCAACAGAATGTTGCAGGACTAAAGGCTTTCTTACCCGTCACTCCACATTTTAGACCAAGAAACCCTTATAAAAAAAAAACAAAGTAGAACCTGAAATGATTTCCTGCCGTTCTTGTTTCGTTTTGAAAGGCCTTTTTTAAAAGCGGCCTTGGAGGGAGAGAAGACAGGATGGGACCCACACAGCAAAGGATAACCACCCCCTTGCAGGCTGGAAGGGGAGAGCTTCCCATTTTACGGCAATTTGGGGGAAACGTGAGAAGATCGTGGGCGCAGCCCTCCGAAATAGCTTGTCCCTCAGCCCCAGGCAGCAGGGGACGGGGGGGCAGCCCCTCAGCCGTTCCCCTGAGCCCTCCGTCTTCTCCCCGGTGGTGTCCGCGCCACTCTGCCTGGTGCCCCATACACTGATCAGCTTGAAGGACCCCCAGCCTCCACCCCATAGCTGCGCAGAAGAAAAACCCGAGGCCCATCCACTGGGCTTCTGTCTGAGGGAGTAGGAAGGGTCTGTGTAGATGGAGACGATGACGTCTTCCTCCTTTTCCTCAGGCAGCGCAACGTTGTAGGCTGCTTCCTAGGAAGGGCAACACCACCCCTCTGCCAGGGGAAGCCAGGGACCTTGACGTGACAAGGCAATGAACCCATTCAGGGTTTTCGTCCGAACTTGTAAAAGCCCCATTCGGTGCTCCAAGTCCCATGGACTGACCACGTTTGGTCCTTCTTTCATGTCCCCTTTCATGTCGCTGATCTTGACCTGTCCGTACTGGCTGTTTACTGAGAAGAAACACGCCGCCACGCGAGGCCCCGACTTACCCATTTTCCCGTCTTCCACGAAAAGGACATTGAGGGGGATAAGGCAGCTGAAGTAGAAGACGTCAATGTTATTCTTCACTGCCACCTGTCCCGAAAGAGAGAGAAAAACCCAATGTGTTTCCTTTTAGACTTAACGAGGGATCATAATAGTTCCCTGTATGGAAATCTCATGACTCCGATATGCCCTGTTGCCATATATATGGCAATATGAGATCATTTATTTAAAATATTTTAATCCTGCCTTTCTCCTTAAAAGGACCCACAGTGGCTTACAATGACGAGAAGGCAAGATTTAAAAGCTGAAAGTTTGCCTATATTTTTAAAAGACTTAAACAAGTACAGTATTATATAAAAAAGACACACAATATGACCATAAAACCAGTAGAGAAAAGACTTAAACAAGTACAGTATTATATATATAAAAAAGATACACAATATGACCATAAAACCAGTAGGGAAAACACATTTAAAAACAACAGAGCACAACATTTTTTAAAAAGTCCTCTCAGACCATAAACACATTTAAAAACAACAGAGTACAACATTAAAAAAACTCCTCTCAGACCACCAGTCTTTAAGAGAAAGGTCTTGGCCTGCTTGTGGAAGGCCAGCCAAGATGGAGCAAGTCTGACCTCCAGTGGCAGGGAGTTCCAGAATCTCTGGGAGCACCCACCAAGAAAGCCCTTCTCCAGCATCCCCACCAAAGGCGCTTGTGAGGGTGGCGGGACCGAGAGAAAGGCCTCCCCTGGCAATCTTAACACCTGAGCAGGCTCGTAGAGGGAAATGGGGTCTCTGAGATGGCTTGGCTTTTATAGGCTAAAACCAGCACTTTGAATTGTGCCCGGAAACAGGTTGGCAAGCCGGTGGAGCTGCTGTAAGAGAGGGATTTATTTGATCCCTGTAACCAGCCCCCGTCAGGAATTTGGTAGCTGTGTTTAGGATCTTCCAGAGTTTCTGAACACTCTCCAAGGGCAGCCCCAGGTAGAGCATGTTACAGTAGTCCAGCTGAGAGGTAACTAGGGCGTGTGTTCCCATTGGTTTGACAGTTCAAGTCCACTTGGGAGGTCTTTACTCGAGTCCTCGTTAGGTCTGCGCACTAGATTCGGAGCAGCCACAAATTCCGAACAGAACCGGTCAGATTTGGAGGGGCGTGTACCGTTCAGAATTGGGCAGGGCCTCCTCCAGGTACCCACCCCGGCCTTCCGCCGGGCCCCCAGTTCTATGGATCATACCTGGAGGTTGTTGAGTGGCTCCATCTTCATCACGGGCCCCAGGGTGTTGAGGGGAAGAGAGACGTCGATGCTCTGGTTGGGCATCAGCGGTGTGTGGATGGCCAGCGGGGTGCTGGGAATGACCCCAAAGCTGTGGGGTGGGGAGGTGGGGAGGAGGAGAGAAGAGGATCGTTTCAGCTGAGAACCAGGCCAAAGCGCGTCCGTCTGCTGAAGCGGGTTCGGGCCACGACTCCGTTTCACTTCTGGCCCGGCTGGCATTTTTACCATCTGTTCTACGAAAAAGCTGCGAATTGAAGATCTCCTAACCTCTCGCAGGGAGGACGGGTGAGAAAGCGCTGGCATTTATAGTTTGCTTTCATATTTAAGAGGGATGCTGAAAAACGCAGATTACGGTGAACGCTATAATAACAGTGAACTCTATACACAGCATGGCCTCTGGCTCTCTCAGGGAGTTTCACCTTTAGAAATATACGTATTATTTCCGGGATTTTTCTTTTAATAATTTCAGACGGTGGATAAATGAACCAGTGGATACTGATCCTGTGGATACGGGGGTTCCTACTGTATGTAATCAGCTAAAAGGGTGGAACTGACTCCGATTTGTGGGGGAACTGCTTGGGCCATGCGGTGGTGCTGATGGGTGTCCAGACCTCACCTGTTCTTGTTGAACTGGATGGCGAAGTCGCTCATGTGCTGCAGGGCCTTGTTGGTGAAAGTCATGTCCATGTAGATGTGGCTCTGGCGGTGGCTGAAGGTCCCGGAGATTTCTAGCCCTTTCGCTTTCACGGCCGGCAGCCAGACCTGGGGGGGAGGGGGGAGACAGGGGGAGCCTATGAAGAGGAAACCAAAGAAACTGACCTCCCCCCCAACTCCCAACTGACAAGAGGCAAGCCAGGTGGATCTGAACTCCAGAAATGAAGCTGGAAGGGACCCTTCAAGGTCATCTAGCCCCACCCCGACCTCAGTGCAGGAGATCAGGGGTTCCAGACCCGCCGAGCAGCTTTTCTCTCGAATACTGAACATCTCCTGCTGTCACATACAGCACTGATGGTACCTGTCTGTCATGGGTTTGGAGGGAAAGTTCCATCCTATGGGGAGTGGAAGGCGGGACATCAGGGGGGAGGAGCTGTACTGTATATATATTTGGGGGAAGTCCATCGTAGGAGAGCTGGTGTGGAGAAGTGGAGTTGGAGTCTGTGGGTCAGACTGGGTACAACTGTTCGTCAGATAGTAC